CACATTTGCTTTGAACTATTTTTATTGTAATATCAATTTGATTATTTTGATGGTACCCTTTAGACAGCTGTTTGATAAGTAACTTTGCAACTACATGTCAATTAGCGGTCATTGGAGTATTAGTAGTATGTCTGCTAAATATATGCTAACACTTTATTTTGATGGTTCCCCAAAAGACAAACTGACTATAAGTAACTTTGCAAGTACATCAACATTCTACCTACCCTAACCTTAACCTAAGCCTACTAATACTCGAATGAGAGTTAGTTGACGTAGTTGCAAAGTTGCTTATAGTCAACAGACTAAGGGGACCATCAAAATAAAATGTAACCTAACATATAAACATTGCATTTTTTTCATTTGAAATTATTAACTAGCTCACATCAAAATTAATATTAGCCTCACAGGGAACACTCAAATAACACTCCACACCTAACCACTTACAAGATGTAGTAAGATACTGTGCAGATCTTAAACAATGTCAAGATATATATAGTCCATTATAAATGTAAAAGTATATTTAATATGGTGTTCATTGTGTGTTATAAATAATCATAATCTTAAAAGTTATAACCACAAATGCGTATATGCATATTATAATTATAATTATTGTTATGATTATTTATATGATATAACATATTATAAGGTTTTTTATAATGCATTATTATAAAAGGTATGAGGACCTCAGATGATGCCAACCCTGAAACAACATAAACTACCACATTTTGCTATAAGTTTGATTGCATCATATAATAATTGCTGTTAATAGTGTTCATCGTCTGTTTGATTACATCTTTAATTGATTTTTCCATACATTTCTGCCATATGTACATTAACTGACAGTCACCACTGATAAGCTACCACTAAATATTGTAGAAACTTAATTTGCTGTAAAGTTGCTTTGCAACGATTTGTATCGTGAAAAGCGCTGTACAAATAAACTTGAATTGAATTTAATTGAATTATGCATTCATTATAATGCCTTAAGAATACCCTTATAATGTATTATAAATATGGGCTTCATAGAAAGTGTTACCAAACATTTTTATTAAACTTTATTTGGAGTACTACTTGTGCACAATGCACATTTCTTAATATTAAGCCTAAAATGTGTTTTAATGTCACTATTGATGAGGATTGTACGATCTTTGAACAATATCGGTCTTTAAATGCAAGATATTTAAAGTGTACCTGAAGTATACTTGCAATAGTTCCACTTTAGCACAATCAAATATATTTCAGTATATCTTTAGTTGGATTTCAGCGCTACTTCCGTGCAATTAAAATGCATTAAGTACAAAATTAGTTGTTCCAATTTAGCAGACTTGTTTAGTATACCAAAAGTACAATTGCATGGTATTTTTATTAAGTACATAAATATGTAAATGTATTTGTAGTATACTTAGCATGACAAAAAATGTATTTCAAATGCATTTTAGTGTATTTATTTTTCACTGACTAGGGTATGCATTTAAATTTAAGAAAAAAAAATTAACACAAACATGGAGCAACAAAGAAGAAAGGCCCTCCAGGTGAAGACACAACAGAAATAGAAGAAAACCAGGAGAAAAAAAAAGTAAAGGTAGGAAAAACTGCCTAACCCTTCTATCCAGTCTGTTGAAAGACCACAAAATACCACCATCACCAAATTTCTGGGAACCTGCGATTTTATTCTCACTTTAGCCTTTATGCCTAATTTTATATAAGATATGGAAAAAATGGTAGAATCAAGACCATGTTTATTTCAATCAAATCTGAAGAAAATAATATGGAAGAAAACTATTTACTCTAAATTTTGCTAACATATTTTATAAATAAATAAATGCAACTTTATACATTTACCTTAACATTTAAACGTTTGGGATCAGTATGCATTTTTTTTTTTTTAAATAAATACTTTTATTTAGCAAGGATGCATTAAAGTGATCAAAAATATTTGAAAATATGAAATAACAGTAATATAAAATATATGTATTTTTTGTGAACTTTCTATTCATCATAGAATTATGATTAAAAAAAAACAGTTTCCACAAAAATATTAGGCAGCACAACTGTTTTTAACATCGATAATAATAAGACGTTTCTTGAGCACCAAATCAGCATATTAAAATGATTTCTTAAGGAACACGTGACACTCAAGATTGAAGCAAATAAATAACATAAAAAAAAAAAAAATAATAAAAAAAAAACATATATATATATATATATATATATATATATATATATTGCAAGG